ACCATGTCAAGACTCTTGTCGGGTGATGTAGCCAGTTGTGTGCGTTTTACATTTTAGAACCGCGCGGGAAAATGCGTGCGTCTGATTGGCTAGCGATGATGTCATTGACCTGTACAGCAGCGACCTGGTAACGCAGTTCGCCGGAAATTGGACTTTACAAAATGCTTCATATTTTCTTTAAAATATGGTATCATACCCCCAAGAAAGTTTACATGGCTACTTAGTTACCCCTTGATTATAGATAGTATCAAGACTTTTGTTTTCCTTGTGGCATTTCGCAGAAAATAGGGTCTTTTGAAATGGCATTTCGCACCTAGTGTATACTAGTACTAAGTACCTAACCAAGCTGAAGCGTTCGGAAGTCGCTGTTCGGCTCTCGGCAATCTTCGGGAGACTTCGGTATCTGTTCGTATGGTTCTTTGGAATCCTCATCAGTTTGTGACAGTTTGTGACCGTGTACAGTGTACGTATGATTGTCGGGAACCTTTCAACGGGCCGTGTTCACGGTATTATGTGTTATGTGACTGTAATGACAACGGGCTGAATGAGTAGACACAGTGTATGTTCTAACATACGCGAAACAATAATAAGGATTTTAATGGTTTACAAAACAATGTATTGTTAGATCTCAACAAAAACTCGGTGGCCTATCGCCTGTGATCTAACCTTGATATCTATTATACTTTTCTTGTGTTCTAACCTTGTCTCCGTTGTAAATTTCTTGACTGTGATCTAACCTTGTCTCTTGTAAATTCCTTGTGATCTAACCTTGGCTCTAATGAACATTTCTTAACTGTGGTCTAACCTTGTTTTTACTGTACTTTTTCCTGTGATCTAACCTTGATCTCTACTGTACTTTTCTTGTGATCCGAGATTGTCTCTACTGTACATTTCTTGACTGTGATCTAACCTTGTCTCTACTGAAGACCAGGATGTTCCTTGCAGCCAGGTCCCTGTGTATGAGCCTGTTGTCCTCCAGGTACTTCATCCCCTTGGCCACTTGTAGTGCAAACTCACACAGTGTGATGACAGGGAAGTTTGGTCTGAGTGAGGGTTCCTTCAAACACTCCAGGAGGGATCTCAGAGGGGCCAGTTCAGTTACCTATATGGACACAAGGTGAAACCATGCACATTAAACTATAAATTGTGTAAGAAAGCCTACTGTTTCTACAAATTAGGTTTGTGGCATTTCAGATTCCAACACCTCTAGACACTGACTGTGTATGGTACAGAGTTCTTACATGTCCGACAGCATACCAACATGAACAGACATACAACAACGGCAAGGTGGTGTTGTGGTTAACGCTGTTGACTAAAATGTTATGGATTAAAATCTGTTGCAGAACAAAATGTTGCGCCCTTAGATATACCTAGGAAAAGTTACTTGACATTTCCTCATTTGACTCGGGAAAACGTAACTAGCCTGAATCGGTTAGGGACATAAAGCAGGAGGCCCCATTTTTTAGGAAAGCCACACACCTTGAACATGTTAAAGATACCACCACACTTATCAAAAGAGTATGGGTCCATCCCATGTTAAAGATACCACCACACTTATGTAGTATGGGATGGGTCCGTCCCAGTTTGAGTGGTTCAAAGGTTATAGCCCAGTCAACCCAGCTTGTACATTGTACATGTACTTATTTTTCAGTACCTACCAACATGAAGGAGTTGTCATAGTCGAGCACCACCCCATACAGCCTGACCAGGGACTCGTGGTCCAGACTGTGCATGATGGATGCCTCTTTCAGGAAGTCTGACTGGCCGGCCTGGATCTGTTCTTTACTCAGGCACTTCAGAGCAACTTGAACCTGTGGGGAAAAACCTGGAAGTTACACTGCTGTGCTGATTGAAAAGCTCAGAAGGTTCTATTTTCAAAATTTTCTGTAGGAGCATGCCCCCTGACCCCCCTAGAAAGCTCGCAACTTTGGCAATCACTGGCCCCTTAGAAAGTAGGAAGAACCCCCCACCCCCCACCCAATATCCTGGCTACAGGCATGTCTCTATAAATAATACAACCCCAGTTCCAATTCCCATATACCAGTAGAACATACATATTTAAACATTGCCTGTAAAATATTGGTCATCCATATCTTTTTGACATAGACATCTTTAAGTGAGAAAAAAGAACTTCCTGAGCTAGCAAACTGAAGACCCTACTATCAATTATGACAGTCCTTACTCTTTCTCCAGCTTCGTTGGTCCATATTCCCTGCTGTACCACCCCAAACTCTCCTGTACCAATTTCCTTCTGTATACTGATGGCCTCAGCAGGGATGATGTACTTCCCTGCTTTAGCTGTGACATCCGCCTTAGGAGATGTGGGCATCTTATTTTTGTGGGACACTTCTCTCTTGGAATGGGTTCTCAGAATACTCTGCAGAAAAAATAAACACAAGAAATCTGAGATTCCAAGTAGTATGATGCGTGGTGATCACAACGACTGCCGACAATTTCACACATCACATTAACAATAACAGCAATACTAACAGTACACAAGAAAAAGATGGGTGATGTCACAATCATAAATACATAACGCAGGCTAAAAAATTAGCCTTCCTGAAAGTAGTGTTGAAAGCCACATTGCCCCGAAAGCTGTGACGTGACAGCTATGGGACTGGTGCGGTGAGGTGAAAGTAGTGTGGCATAGTCCTATTCATCAGCCCAGTAAATGGCAACAGTTGTTGTGTATATATGTACTAGTGACAAACAGGTCACTCTCACCCCTTAACATGCCTTAACATGCCTGCATGCAAGCTGGTTTTTATCTGGGCCCTTCTGAAAAATAACCCCCTCGGTTTTTCACATACATTTTCATAACAGTCCCTAACATTAGACGATCACACCACGGGCTACATGGGGGTGGTTCAATTATTCTATTTCAACACCTGAAAATACAGATACACATATAATAGAGTTCAACAGATCTCATACCCCAATGAAATGTTTAGTGATTTTAAAAACACTAATTTGAAGTGAAAAGGCTAATAATAGTTCTAGGTTACATAGGGAAGACAACAGCATGCCTAGCTCTAACTGTACATGCAAAACCAGAGTGTTGATGTGGTTAATCTGGCTATCTCCATATACAATGTACATACAGCAGAATACAAGTAAGATTTCTGATAAAGATATATGATATGATGGATATCATTCAATGACAGGGAACATGAAAGTCGTCCTTTCGATAAACATGTAGCAGGTTACAAGTGAGATTTCTGATAAAGATATAGTTCCATACACTCATACATGTATCACTTCTGCCTGTGAAGGAGATAAATAACTTTTTTTGCGGCCCACAACCCTGCTAAGGCCCACTTTATACACAGCTTTTCGCATCAGCGGGACTGCCGACAGTGGGAACGTTGTGTAAAGAGAATTCCTGACAGCGTAGTCCCACTGTCGGTACACTTTCTCCCGACAGCTCCGATGTCATCAGCTGACAGCTCAGCGGGAGTCCCTGACAACCTAAAAGTGCATATAAAGAGCTCGCGACAGCAGGAACAAATCTAGGTCAGGGGTTATATGCAAATTGCCGTATGTCCCCGAGAAGACTCGCTACATTTGTTGTTTGGCACTCGGATATTAGTTTGGGCTACAATGTAAATGGTTCATGCTGCTTTTTCTGTCTACGGGCCGTTCCAAGGGATACAGCAATATTGTGTGGTAATGACAATGAGTTTGTATCAGTCCATATAGCGCATTGTATGGGCCGTGGGCAATTAGCTAAGGGTAGAATACTAGCTGTAGATGATGTCTCTCGCTATTTGTGCGTCTAATATAAGTTCTATAAGTTACCCACAAAGTTTTAGGGTAACGTTGATCTGCAAACATGATCAGATCAGAAGGAAAGTTCGCAATCTGCGTCTTGTATACAGAAAGGCACGGGAAAACAACAGCCATAGTGGCAGGGGTCGACGGACTTGACGAGTTGGATGTGTTCATCGGGGACTTCTAGGCCATGTGTATAAAGACGTCCCGACAGCGGCATCCCGACAGCAGCGTCCCGACAGCGGCGTCCCGACAGCGGCGTCCCGACAGCGGGAAATATCAACATAACCAGCCTCTTCAACATTGTTCTCAAATTCACAAAACTTCTAAAATCTATCCTGGGGCTAGCCCTGGGGCTCACCGGAAGTAGGGCACTCTGGTCTTCCCAGAGACTTGCGACCTCAAATGTTATTTCTAACAAGCTCATGACAGACCACAATGAGGCCTGCCCAAAATAATGACAGTGCCATGCAAACAATCACCATCGCCATGGCAATGTATCTCTTCATTGTCAGTCAGACTTTTTTTCGCTAACAAAGTTATAAGGTAAAATTAGCCTGATCCAGTTTATCGCCAAAGCTAGATAGCAAATTAGCTTGCAGACAAGTTTAGAGAATCTGATCATGAAGCAGTTTCCCATGGTCACACTGGTAACCTGATACCAGTGGTCTAGAGGTCTCTGCCTTGGGCAACTTACTCTCATGTCCCGAATGAACGTACCGGTACGTTTATTTTTTTCGGCCCGAACGTCCACCCGGTACGTTCTTATTAGGGACGGTACGTTTATAAATTTTTGGAAAAAATTGTCAGTACCTGTATTCAGAAAGGCATTAAAAATTTAACAAATCTTAAACGTGAAGGCGTAAAAGTTTGACGCATACAACCCCCAGAAAATGTCATGTTCCGACAGTAACGTTCCTGCCGCAGGTCCACCCCACACAGTTTCAGACTCAAATAAATAACGCGCCCCTTCTAAGTACAACCGGTGCCAAAGTTAATATTCATTTCAGAGAAGAGTTGCATAAAGTAAAAAGAGATTTAGGCTGTGTACTAAGGAATTGTGTGGTAATTGCCACGGTTACGTAGCGGAAAACGTTTCATGTTCCGGCTTGCTTTCGTCGCCGGCTGCAGCTGGTCGCGCGCATGTTGCTGCGCTAGTATCGGCGGCTCCGACGGAAAATAATTCATCCCCGGAAGAAATGTTACGCATAAAAATAACAACTGTAACTGATTTTCCTTGTTTTATGAGTTTTTGAGGCCGCAAAATGTTCAAAACGGTTGAAATTTGTCAAAAAAACAGCGCGAAGCAAAGTGAGAAAACATGACTGACGCCCAAAACAAAAGCGGTCAAAGGTCAAGTTAGCATCCAAACGTACAAGATATTACTGCTAAAACGATACTTTAAACGCATGAAAAAAATTTTTTTTCCACAAAAAAAAAAACAGAAATACAAATTCAGGCATATTCTTAGAAGGTTAATTTTCGAACGTTAGCGTGATATTTTTCAAAATAATTGGTTTCTAGTTTCAGAATATAATTGTTTATAAGAATGGTTGCTATGGATGCTATGAAGTATGGGAGATACAATGTATTATTATAACTGTTATATATATATGTTAGAGATTATGATAATGCCTACCGCGGTTCGAGTGTCTCTCAATAATTATTTTTGAGTTTATATCACATTTTTGTTTGTTCAGCTGTGTCAATATGTGATTTTGTTTGGGAAATGTGATTGGGTTACGTACTTAAGTTAGGTTTAGTGTCAGTATTATATATATAAACACCTTTAGAATGCTCCAAGTTCCAGGTAGTAAATACGAGGGGTGATCCAAAAGTTCTCGGCCTCACCTAGAAAATAGAGGTCAAACGCGTATTCTTTGGTATAGCTGTATACTATGACGTCTTACATCAGTGCACACAAAAATGCAAATTTTTATATTCATTAATTAACACGTGACGCCCCGTGAAAATGGGGTGGGTGAGGGCAAAATCACAAAATGGCCGCAACAGAAGCGTGTGCTGTGATCAAGTATATCAATAAAAAGCTACATGTATGCCTCCTCAGGAAATCCATGAAGTCATGACCAAGACACTTGGTGATGACTCCCCTTCCTATTGAACTATAAAGAACTGGGTTGCTAGCTCTAAGCGCGTCAAGGAGAGCACAAAAGATGAACATAGTCAAAGTCGTTATTTCTTTTGGAAATGGTCGGAAAAAATTTTCTTGCATTCCTAACGTCCCTCTGAGGTGTTAGAAGTGCAAGAATTACGTTAGGATGCCACAAATCAGCACCATGGACAATCCAGTTGAGGCCATCCATCACATGGTAGTAAATGACAGATGTGAGACTGTCCAACATGTAGCAGGTTCTTTGGCCTGACTTGTGGTACAGTTAACAGTGTTTTGTAGTACATTTTGGGGATGAGCAAGCTGTCTGCATGATGGGTGCCTAGAATGTTGTCTGAACATCACAAGTTAAACAGGCTGAGCATTTCAAGGAACGAATTCAGTCCATCAAGGCAACTTACTCAAACGATTTGTCACCCAATATGAGACATGGGTTCACCACTTTCACCCCGAATCAAAACAGCAGAGCAAATAATTGATGAAGAATGGTTCCCAGCATCCCAAGCGAGTTTTACCCGTTGAAAAGGTTTTTGCCTCTGTTTTCTGGGACAGTGAGGGGGTAATCATTATTGACTACCTGCAAAAGGGTCAAACCATCAATGGGGTGTACTGTGCACCAGAATTGCGGCAGTTGAGGG